TGGGAATTGAACCAGGGTCCTCTGGAAGAACAGTTAGTGATTTTAACCACTGAGCCATCTCTCCAGCCGTTTTAGCTGATTCGAGATATGGTCAAGTTGACCACCGAGATTAGTCATCGCAGGAACCTGGGACGCCAGTGCAAAGACTGCAGGACCAGGATTAAGGGTCACCACCCTGTCTTCGTGGAGAGCTGGATTTGGTGCCACAGCACAGTCCCTTGCTAGCCGAGAGTGGCTGTCACAGGGCTGCTAGGGGGCGGCATGAGGAGTGGCCCTCCTGTGAAGGGTTGTACCAGAACGTAGACAATGCAGCAGGCTGAGACGTCAGCTCCCGCTTCAAACCTACCTGTGGTGAGTGTGTGGTGGCCAGAGTCTGACTGAGCTGCTACATTGACCTGCTGTGTGACCTTGGGGAGGTTTTGTCACCTCTCTGTACCTCGGGTTCCTCAGAAGTAGAAGCTGTAGAAGCATTTCTTTTCCTTTTTTTTTTTTTTTTTTTTTTTTTTTGATTTTCGATTCAGGACTTCTCTCTTAGCTTTGGAGCCTGTCCTGGAACTCATTCTGTAGACCAGGCTGGCCTTGAATTTAGAGACCCGCCTGCCTCTGCCTCCCGAGTGCTGGGATTAAAAACTGGGCGCCACCACCGCCCTCTTCTCCTCTTATCTGTGGAAGGATTTAGCTCTCATCCCAACTGTAATTTTTACTAAACAAACAAACAAAACAACATAAACAAAGCAACACCAAAACAGCAGAATTTAATGGGCGTGGTGGTGCATACCTGTAATCACAGCATGCAAGGTGCAGAAACAGGAGGATGGCTCTAAGTTCCAGGCCAACCTGGTCTATGTAGTGAGCTCCAGGTCAATCAAGGTTTCATAATGAGACCCTGTCCCCCAAAACACAACAACAGAAACAAACACAAAACCAAACTAAAGAGCCTACCCAGGGCTAGGAAGGGGAAACGGTCCTGATGGGAATCCAACCAGAAAAGATGTAAAAGATGTGTGGAGATGATAGCTCAGCGGGTAAAGGCACTCGCTGCTGAGTTTGCTGACTTGAGTTCAATCCTTAGAACCCACATGGTGGACAGAAAGTCAGCTGTCCTTTGACCTCCACATAGTGTACCTTCATATACGTGTACACATACATACGTACGAAATAAATGTTTAAAAATTGATTAAGACACAAAGAACCGTAGGGCGGTGGTGGCACATACCTTTAATCCCAGCACTCAGGAGGCAGAGGCAGGTGGATCTCTGTGAGTTTGAGGCCAGCCTGGTCTACAGAGCGAGTTTCAGGACAGCCAGGGCTACACAGAGAAACCCTGACGAGAAAAACAACAGCAGCAGCAGCAACAACAAAAAAGAGCCAAGCTTTGAGAAGGTTGAGGTGGTGTCAGGGTCCGGTATGCCCGAGGAGGTCTCTGACACTTAAGAGAGAAGACTGTGCTTCCTGGAACCAGTGTGGCTTCACCAAGATGGGACACACACTTTAGGTTGTTAACTAGAGGACTGGTAGGTGAAGCCCATGAGCCAGCAAGGGCCATAAAGGAGGCCTCGCCCCAGGTGTGTGCTATAGACCACACATGGTCTTACCTGGTCCCCACAAGCTTGTGTCCCAGATGTGGCAATCTGTATCACGGAATGGGTTCCCAGAGGAGAAATGAAGTTGCTGGGAAACTCAATGACCTAGAATTCAAACCTAGCCTTGTCTGACCTTTATGTCCTGTCGTGTGGCCTCTGAAGATTTTGAATAAGGCCTCTCATGACCTGTGGGGACAACACGGGCTTCTCTGAGGGCACAGGGGTGGGTTAGTTTTAATCACAGCGTGTGGGATGCCCATGTGGTAGAAGGGCCCATCTACAGGAGGTCCCTGCAGCCTGCTACTGGGTCACCTTAGGTAGAGGTCTGATGTTTAGGTGAAAGGAGCGGACCACCGTTCACCCTCAGTTTCTGTGCTTTGCCGTGGTTTCTAGTGTCCCTATTTGAAGGTCAGGTGCCATTTTTCTCCCCCCCCCCCCCCCACCGACGTAGGTGTCACATAGCCCAGACTGGCTTCATCTTATTGCTTAGCTAAAGATGACCTTGAACTCCTGGTCCATCTGAGTGCTGGGATCATAGGCATGTACCACCAGACCTGGTTTATGCAGTGCTGAGGTTTGAACCCAGGGTTTCATGCATGCTAGGCAAACACTGTACCAATAGAGCAGCAGCTCCAGTCTTGCTTCTCCTTTTTTGAGTCTGACTCTGACATTCCATCCAGAGCAGGCCCCAAATGACATCTTTTATAAAGCATTTTCAGTATTTTATTTATTTATTTGTGTGTGTGTGTGTGTGTGTGTGTGTGTGTGTGTGTGTGGCGTGCGCAAGCATGCAGTGTGTATAGAGGCCAGAAGAGGGTGTAGGATTCCCTGGAGCTGGAGTTACAGGTGGTCATGAGCCTCTGGATTTGAGTGCTGGGACCTGAATCCTGCTCTTCTGCAAGAGTGGCAAGTACACTTAACCCTGAGTCTTCTCTTCCTCCCACCCCACAAAACTAAGGGGTGGGGGGGAGAAGATTCAGTTTCTAAGTTTTGGTGTGAGCAGTATGCCTTGGTCTGATCTTTATACCCATCCAGCTATGAATGGAGGAAAGCCTCCAGGGGAAGGGTAATGTCCACAGAGAGGCCTGGTCCCTGTGGCGCTGGCCAGGGGTGTCTCCTTCTGTTCTAGCCCTCATGTGTGGTCAGCGTTGGCCAGGCCCGGCTCTGCTCTTTGCTCTGTTGGAGCAGGGTGGCAGCCGGGAGCTGAGCCTTGCTCCCGCTGGGGCTGTGTCTCTGCTAGAGCTGCCGTCACCTGCCAAGCTGAATTGGGCACAGGAAGCGCCTGGCGGGGAGACATGCTGTTGAATTTGGAGGCTCTGCTCCACTCCAAAATGCACTTTTCCTGGCAGCTGCCCTGTAGGGAAGCTGTTGAGCTTCCCTGTCTCTGCCAGGATCACAGCCACTTTTTCCTGAGAAAGAAACAGGGCTGCAGACAGTTTTACTCATTAAAGCCTTCTTTTTCCTCTTAAATCTGTTTTTGTGATTTTTTTCTTTTTCTTTCTCTCTCCCCCTCCCCCCTTTTTTTTTCACGAACGGAAAAGTAAAACGGATGATATTGAAATAAACAAGGCATTTGTGATAAGAAGGTTAAAGCAGATTGCTGGGGGTGGGGAAAGGGTTTGGAAATGCACACAGGCCTCTCCTTGCCTCTTGAGGAAGGGCAGTGAGAGAGAATGCATGAGTTGCCCCCCACCCCAGCCTGCTTCCCCAAAGCTCTTTGGGGGGGGGTCACTGTGAAGAGCAATGGGAAGGGGGGATCACCTTTATTAGGAGCCAACTGAATGCTAGCCTTGCAGTGTGGGTCTGCTCATTTAGTTCCCAAGAGCCAAGGGTGGGAAGGGCCCATTACACAGACTGAGAAAGTTGAGGTGCAACAGATACCCAGAGGTTACCCAGGACTGGGGTATGAGCTTCCGTAGGTCAGACCTTGTCTGCCGTGGTGTTTTGGCTACACATTGTGATCCAGAGCAGTTGTGTTTGGTGCTAGAGAATGGAAGAATGAAGAGAAGGGGAGGAGGAAAGAAGAGGAGACAGCGACTGTCCCTGAGGAGCGAGCATCGTGCCTGCTGAGCCTGAAGGAAGCCTGTGAGCGTGCCGAGTCCTGGCTGCTGCGCTCTGACAGGCAGGGGTGTTTTGGGGACGGGCATGTCTGTGTGGGTGTGGGTGCATGGGTTTGGTTTGATAGCCAAAGCAGATTTCCTGGAGTAAAGGCCGGCATGGGGTGGAGAAAGAGTCCAGAGCGCAGGAAACTGATTCCCTCCTCTGGGTCACGGGCACTCACTGACTGTGGCAGTGACATACCCACCGTGGCAGCCTGGTTGGTGATGGGCTGGCAGGCCCGTGGGAGAGTTGCAGAGACCAGTGATATCAGTAACAGATGGTACCTGTTTGATCTGGGGTGGGGACAGTGAACCAGAGCTCCTGCTTGTGAGGTCCAGGCTGTGGAGTAAATGGGCACGCTGGTTGACTATAGACAAGGTGTGAAGGGAGGAAGACACAGGAGGAAGGAGAGTACATTAGGGAGATCAGGGCTCGGCTTTGATTTGGTAACGTTGAGTGGAACACACATGTGTCTCACTCATGTGCCTACTCGGCAGGAGTTTTCACTGTGGGCCAGATGTGGCTGGATGCTCCTCTCCTCTGTGCCATTTTCCACCTAGAGGGACAGTCAGTGGATTCTTCTGTCTTTTCTTTTTTTGTTTTTCGAGACACAGTTTCTCTGTGTAGACCTGGCTGTCCTGGAACTCGCTCAGTAGATCAGGCTAGACCTTGAGCTCACAGAGATCCACCTGCCTCTGCCTCCCGAGTGCCAGGATTAAAGGCGTGCGCCCCTACTGCCCGGCAGATTCTTCTGTCTTCTGACCTGGAGCATTTTGAATTTTGAGGAGCCCATCCTCTAGAGATGACATCAGGGGCTGTGGCTAAGGCCCCATCTGTGTCTCAGGCGACCTGAGTTGGGAAGGTGTCCCTGTAAGAATACGGTGAAGAGATGGGTTTGGCTGGTATGACATTTTGTGTCCCCATCACAGGATGCAGTTTGTTGGTGAGGGGTATTGTAGCTTGTAGAACCGATTGCGGGCTTCCCACCTACTTTTCTAGAACACCCCTCTTGGCAGCTTGCCTTGACCGGCACTGCAGTATTTACACCCCAGGAAATGGCAGCTGTTTCAAGTCAGAGCTCTTTTTTATTTTTTTTCTCTCCCGAAGAATTGATTGGTAAATTTGTAGAGGCTTGTGATAAATGTTGACCATTTACTTACAGTGTGTCAGAGGATAGGTGTTGGATACTTTGCACACGGCCCCCACAAACCCAGAATACATTGCATACAGTTGGTATTTAATAAGTACAACTTTGATGTCTTCTCCTTTGATGTCTCTTTTGTGAGGGAAACCTACTGCTACATTTTTTTTTTGCAGAGCAACAACCTCCCCTCCGCTTCCTGCCACTAGCCGTCTCAGGTCTCAGACCATGAGATCGTCCTTCCTGGTGGGGTGGGACCGAAGCACCAAGAACTTGGAGTCTTGAGAGTCCAGGTATGCATCCCTGCCTCCTCTTCCTAGATGTGTAATGACCCTGGGCAAGGCATTTTAATAGCTCTGCTCCTCAGTTAAGTCACCCGCATGCTGGGGATGGCTGGCCAGCCTCCCTCATTAAGTTGTTATGGAGATGGAATGAGGTCATGGGGGTGTTAGTGCCTGGTATCAAGGCACAGTTTCAGTGAAAGCTTGGCCCGGGCTGGCCTTCCTTCCTCTGACTGGGGACCCGCCTCTGGTCTTGGGGGGGGGGGCGGCTGCAGCCTGACAGGAAAGACTTTTGACAGAACATGTAGGTCACAGCAGGGAGGGCCTTGGGACCCTCTAAATGTGTTGACGACAGGCCGCGGAGGGGAACTCCCCAGCTGGCCCGGCCAGAGAGCCTACATGTAGGGCCTCACCTGCAGATTGCCTGATAAGCGCCTGGTGCTTTTCTGGGGCGGCTTCGGCAGCCTGGGCTGCCCTGATTTACCACTCCAGCCCCAAGCAGATTAAATCAGCCAGAGTCATTTGAATCTTACCTGGCCTTGTCACACAAATCTTCAAAACTGCTGTCTGGCAAGAAAACTTTCTCTGTACTTTTTGCTGGAAGACTAGACACTCTAGAAATTGAGGTGAACTGGGAAAAGGAAGGAGGTGCGGGGGGGGGGGGGGGGAGGGGGGGGCACCTCTCTCTGTGTGATATAGGGCAACTCATGGAGCGTCTCTGAGTCTCACAGAATTGTGCGGGAAGGCCCAAAGGACCAGCTCGTGTGAATTAGCGTACAGACCTCATTGGGTTCTGTGGTTGGGGAGATGGGACAAATGGCTGCGAAAATAAATTATCCTTGGCAGTGGTGAGCGAGAGTAGAGAGATAAGGACACAGAGTTGTCAGAGGTCTGGGGCTAAAGGAATCTTAACTCCCAGCAAGAAGAGGGAGGGAGTCTAGAGAGGCTGGGATCCAGAGGAACAGCCTGTAGGACTCAGGGATGTCTCCCCCTCTGCCCTGGATAACCAAGAAAAGTCCTCCCTTTGTTGTCTCTCAACCAGATCACAGGCGCAGTCTGGCCCTTGGTTACGGGGAATGGGTGGCCTCATTAGACAGAAAGCAGGGGTGTTTGTCAGAATCTGAGGAAACGGCCGCTTACTCTGTCTCCGTTTCAAAGAGAAATACCAGGCTTTTGTTTCTGGCAGACAACTGTTAACAGACACAGTGACCAGAGGGTCTAGCCAAGTCACGGAGGAAAAATCTAGAAAAAGCACAGAAAAGTACTCTCGTCCCTGATCAAACTGTGCCTGAGAGCCCGTTCTATCCAGAGCCTTTAGTAAGTGAGTTAGTAAATGTGTTTTAGTAGTTTTGATTTAGTTATCTTGTCTCTTTTGCCACATAAATCAGACATGGGCTACTGGAGGGGTCTGAATAGGGGAAGCAGGAGCCCCCATGGTATAAAGTAGCGATCAGCGAGAGTTAAAGGACGGTAGAGTTTGCGCTGTGACGGGGGTGACCGCGGATGCTGAGGACAAGACTGCGGTTGATTAGAGAGAGGCCTCAGGGCAGGGTTAAGAAGGACCCCACTTCTGGTGATTCTCCAAGCAATGGGGAGTACCTGTAGTGCCGGGCAGGGAAGGGAAGCAGACTGAGGGCACAGGCTTGGGGAAGATCAGCTTAAATTGGTATCCATTAGGTTAGATTGGAAAGTGGAATGAGGAGGGGAGACTTAAAAATATCATTTACTGATCTGTGCAGAGCCCATTACCAATAAATCTATGTGTGCAGCCTCAGTTCATCCTTAAAAGAGCCTGGGCCTGCCCTGTCCCCACTTAGTTTGAGTTTAAAGATCTTGTGTGACTTGACTAGATCATAGGATTAGTAAATGACAGAATGAGGTCTTGAACTCAGGCCACCCAACTTTAGACTCTGCCTTAGTTATTGTGTTTCTGATAATACAGGTGACACTTTAGTGGAATTTAGACTAAGGTAGCGGTGACAAGGGTTGAGGGGGAACAAAGGACATTGGGCCAACAAAACCCAAGATAGATGTTCAATAGTCAGAAACCATACCAGGGTAGCTCTTGTCTGTCATCTGTTTGTCCCTCCCATCCCTCCCTCCTCCTCTTCCTCTCCCTCTCCCTCTCTTTCTCTCTCTCGGCTATCTAACTACCTACTGTCTATCTTTCATCACCATCTATTTATCATTTCCATTATTTTATATTTTACCACGAGGCTCATGTTTACTGGCAAGGTTCCGGCACATCTGTCTCCTGCGGTGGCTACATAGCATCCCACTGATTCCTTCTACTTTCTCCCAGCATTCAGTTTAGTTTTTCCATCTAGCTCTATTCTGTCCTATCATAGGCCAAAGTACCTTCTTCATGCATTAACCAATAAAAGCAACATATATACAGAAGGACTTCCCACACAATTTCCCCTTTTCTGTTCAAATAAAAAGGAAGGTTTTAACTTTAGCATAGTAAAGTCACATATAACAAAACAGATATTAAGCAAGAATTGCAGTTACAATATTTATATCTACTTTATCTTTTATCATAACTAAGGAAAACTATAATTATAACTATCCTTCAATTCCATCAAACACCTCAGAAGAATATAGCATTACCTAAGTTAACAACCTCCAAAACTCTGGAAATGATAGAGACATCTCGCTGCCTGGACAGTCACCCAAAGTTTATTCGTTCTTTCTCTCTCTCTCTCTCTCTCTCTCCCCCCCTTCATCATCTATTTGTCTCTTTACCCATATTTCCATCCATCCATTCATTTATTATCTATCCATCCATCCGTCTTCATCATCTATTCATCTACCTACCCATCTATCTATGTCTGTCTATCTATCATCTGCCTACCTATCTATCATCTATCTATCTATCTATCTGTCTGTCTGTCTGTCTATCTATCAACTACCTATCTATCTTTCTATCTTTCTATCTATCTATCTATCTATCTATCTGTCTATCTGTCTATCTGTCTATCTGTCTGTCTGTCTGTCTGTCTGTCTGTCTGTCTATCTGTCTATCTGTCCAACCATCTATTTATATTGTAACCAGACACAAATATTGAATAGAAAGTGTAGATGCTGGGCAGGTGAACAAATGATCTTAGAGGTGGGGCGAGATTATTGTCTGGAAAGTCCAAGATAATTTCCTGAAAAACAACTGGAAGAAAAAAAGTTTAGTAAAATGTCCCCATAGGCCCAGGTATGGTGGCACAGGTCTTTAATCCTAGCACTCAGGAGGCAGAGGCAAGAGGATCTCTGTGGACTTGAGGCCAGTCTGGCCTATATAATGAGTTCTAGGACAACCAGGGCTATGTAGAAAGACCCTATCTCAAAGTACCAAAACAGCAACAACAGAAAAGCAAAATCTAGGCTGTTTTTCTTTTCCCTTTCCCTTCCTTCCTCCCTCCTCTTTCTTCTTGTCCTTTCCTTCTTTTCCTCCTCCCCCAGTTGCTGCTGCTTCTGCTTCTCCTCCTCCTTCTTTTTCCTTCTTCTTCATCTTTTTAAAACAAAACAAAGCAGAACAATCATGTCTGTCCTAACCTGAAACCTACCTCAAACTTGAAGAGATCTACCTGGCTCTACCTCTTGAGTGCTGAGATTAAAGGAGTATGCCACCATGCCCCATAGGTTTTACATTTATAAACTAAATGAAAATGCTCTTCCACACTGTGAAAGAACCCCAATCACAGAATACCTAGAGATGCACCTCACCAGAACTTGGGTATCCCATGAAGAAAACCAGGAAATCTGAGAATGGAATAGAGGCCAGTGGGTACAGCTCATTCCTAGCTGCCTTGCGGAGCTTTGAGACCACAGTGGCACCACATTCCCCCATGAATGAATGAAATTAAGATAACCAAGAGCCCTGGACTGGAGAGATGGCTCAGCTGTTAAAGGCTAGACTCACAACCAAGGATATAAGATAATCAGAGCTCTAGAAAAAGTTGGTTTTGAATTTGATAAAATAATCTTAAAGCTAATCTGGAAGAGATTAAAAAAATGAGAAGAGTCAGAAAATTCTGAAGATAAAAATATGAGTATTTGTCATATATTAGTGTGCTTTATAAAGGGTACTCATTAAAAGTCCCATGGAATGGACAGAATGGAAAGTTCAGAACTGGATCCAAATATTTAAGGGAATTTATTTTGACATGATAAAGTGGCATTTCAACTGAGTTGGGACTATATGGATGATTTTATAAATTTCATTGAGCAGGAAAGATAGGCCTGGTCATTATAACATAACCACGGTTCCCAGCCTACTGTAGTCAGGCTGTGGAGACCATGGGGATATAAGTGAATAAATATTTTTTTCATCCTTCTAAGCATACCATGATACCCAGAAGTCATAAAAAAATAATAGATTTGTTCTGGTAAAGATGGTACAGCAGGACAAAGGCCAAGCCTGATGTCCCAAGTTCAGTTCCTCTGACCTATACATGTGCGTGCATGCACATAAATAAATGTAAAAAGGCTAATAAACTTGACTATATGAGAATTAAGAACTTAAATACATCAAACAAACAAAAAATTAAGGGTTTTGTATGGTAGTGTTCACCTAGCGCTTGTAAGGCAGAGACAGGAGGATCTCTGTCAGTTTCAGCCTAGCCTGGGCTGTATAGTAAGATATTGTTAAAATAATAACAACAACAAAGTTTCAAGGTCACTGTCAGCTGCAGAACGAGTTTGAAGCCAGCCTCCAGGCGAAGGGAAGTTGGGGAGAATGCTCAGTGGTTAAGAGTTCTCGCTGTGCTTTTAGAGGACGGGAGTTCAGCTTCCATAGCTACCTGCAATTGTGCTCTGGGGATCTAACATCCTCTTCTGACCCCTGCAGGCACCCAAACACGTGGTCGATTCATTCTCTCTCTCTCTCTCTCTCTCTCTCTCTCTCTCTCTCACACACACACACACACACACACACACACACACACACACACAAAATTAATTGGGGGGGGGCTGGAGAGATGGCATCACAGTTAAGAGCGTTGGCTGCTCTTCCAGAGGAG